CACATGTGTACTGCCCCGCTATTCCTAACACCTTCAATACTCACTACCATCATGGGCTCCCCAGCACATGTGTGTGTACTGCCTGCCATTACCAATCACCACACTACCATCACGGCTCCACAGTGTGTGTACTGCCCCGCCATTACCACCACCACTACCATCATGGGCCCCAGCACATGTGCGTGTGTGTACTGCCCCCTGCCATTACTACCACCACTACCATCATCATGGGCCCCAGCACATGCGTGTGTGTAATACTGCCTCTGCCATTACTACCACCACACTACCATCATGGGCCTCCAGCACATGTGTGTGTACTGCTCCCCATACTACCTCAATTACTACCATCATGGGCTCCCAGCACATGCGTGTGTACTGCTCCTGCCATTACTACCACCACTACCATCATGGGCCCCAGCACATGCGTGTGTACTGCCCCCCGCCATTGGCCACCTCCTCCTCACCACTGTCATCACGGCCTCAGCACATGTGTGTGTGTGTACTGCCCCGCCATTACCACCACCACTACCATCATGGGCGCAGCATGCGTGTGTACTCGCCTCGCCATTGTTTCAATTACCACTACCATCACGGCTCCCAGCACACATGCGTGCGTGTGTGTACTGCCCCGCCACACACCACCATTACCATCATCATGGGCCCCAGCACATGTGTGTGTGTACTGCCCCCCCATTACCACACACCACCACTACTCATCATGGGCCCCAGCACATGCGTGTGTACTCGCCCCCATTACCACCACCACTGCCACCATCATGGGCCCCAGCACGCGTGTGTGTACTGCCCCCCCATTACCACCACCTCACTCATCATGGCCCTGCAGCACATGTGTGTGTGTGTGTGTACTGCCCCGCCATTACCACCACCACTACCATCACGGCTCCCAGCACATGTGTGTGTGTGTGTACTGCCCCCCGCCACACCAAGGCCACCACTACCATCACACGGCTCCCAGCACACATGTGTGTGTGTACTGCCCCGTCATTACCACCACCACTACCATCACGGCTCCCAGCACATGCGTGTGTACTGCCCCGCCATTTCACCACCACTACCATCATATGGGCCCCAGCACATGCGTGTGTGTGTACTGCCCCGCCATTGGCCACCACCACTCTCACCATCACGGCTCCTGCCACATGTGTGTGTACTGCCTCCCCATTACTCACCTCACCACTACCATCACGGCTCCCAGCACATGTGTGTACTGCCCCGCCATTACCACTCACACCACTACCATCACGGCTCCCAGCACATGCGTGTACTGCCCCGCCATACCACCACCACTACCATCACGGCTCCCAGCACATGCGTGAATCGCCTCTGTCATTACCACCACTACTATCACGGTTTCCTGGAAGCACACATGCGTGTGTACTGCCTCTGCTATTCCTACCTCACTACTACCATATCATGGGTTTCAGCACATGTGTGTGTACTGCCCTGCCATTACTACCACTACTACTACGGTTTCCTAGCATATGCGTGTGTGTACTGCCCTGCTATTACTTACCACTACTAGATTTGTTAATATGGGGCTCTAGCACATGCGTGTACTGCCCCGCCATTGCCACCAATACCTCAGTGCCTCATCATGGGCCCCAGCACATGTGTGTACTGCCCCGCCATTACCACACCTCACCACTACCACATCAGATGGGCCCCAGCACAGTGTGTGTACTGCTCTATTGGCCATCACTTCACTACTGGGCTTCATATCAGTGGGCTCTAGCATATGTGTGTGTATCATGTTCTGCTATATTACTACTACTACTACTATCATAAGGTTCTAGTATACAGTGTGTGTACTGCCTCTGCCATACTATCATCACTACTACTATCATTGTTTCAGCATATGTGTGTGTGTATCTCAAGCATACTACTCACTACTACCATCATGTGGCTCCCAGTACATGCGTGTGTACTGCCCTGCCATTACTACCTCTCACCACTACCATCACGGGTTCTCTAGCACATGCGTGTGTACTGCCCCGCCATTGCTTCTCACCACCACTACCATCATGGGCCCCCAGCACATGTGTGTGTACTGCCCCCATTACCACCACCACCACCATCATGGGCCTTCCCAGCACATGTGTGTGTATCACTGCCCCTGCCATTACCACCACCACTACCATCACGGCTCCCCAACACATGTGTGTGTGTGTGTGTATCACCCCGCCATTACCACCTCACCACTACCATCATGGGCCCTAGCACATGTGTGTGTACTGCCCCGCTATTACCACCACTACTACTTTCATCATGCCCTAGCATGTGTGTGTGTATTCCCCCATTACTTCAATACTACTACCATCATGGCCTCCAGCACATGTGTGTGTACTGCCCTGCCACACACCACCACTCACCATCACGGCCCCTCAACACATGTGTGTGTACTGCCTCGCCATTACCACCACTACCATCATGGGCTCCCAGCAGCACATGTGTGTGTGTGTACTGCCCGCCATTACCACCACCACTACCATCATGGGCTCCCAGCACATGTGTGTGTACTCGCCCCCATTACCACCACTACCATCATGGGCTCCCAGCACATGTGTGTGTGTACTGCCCCGCCATTACCACCACCACTGCCACTCTCATCATGGGCCCCAGCATGTGTGTGTGTACTGCCCTGCCATTACTACCACCACTACCATCATCATGGGCCCTGGCACATGTGTGTGTACTGCCCTGCCATTACCACCACCACACCACTACCATCAAGGGCTCCCAGCATGCGTGTGTGTACTGCCCCCGCCATTACCACCACCACTACCATCATGGGCCCCATGTGTGTGTACTGCCTCCATTACCACCTCACCACTACCATCATGGGCCCCAGCACATGTGTGTGTACTGCCCCCGCCATTACTGCCACCACCACTACCATCATCATGGGCCTCCCAGCACATGTGTGTGTACTGCCCTGCCATTACTACAATCTCACCACTACCAACACATGGGCTCCCAGCACATGTGTGTACTGCCCCGCCATTCCACCACCACTACCATCATGGGCTTCTAGCACATGTGTGTGTGTACTGCCCGCCATTACACACCACCACTACCATCATGGGCCCCAGCACATGTGTGTGTACTGCCCGCCATTACCACCACCACTACCATCAGGCTCAGCACATGTGTGTGTACTGCCATTCCCCCACCACTACATCATGGCTCCAACACGTGTGTGTGTACTGCCCGCCATTACCACCACCACTACCATCATGCGGGCCCCAGCACATGTGTGTGTACTGCCCCGCCATTACCACCACCACTACCATCATGGGCTCCCAGCATGTGTGACTGCCCCCATTACTCACCACCACTACCATCATGGGCTCCCAGCACATGCGTGTACTGCCCCGCCATTACCACCACCACTACCATCATGGTCCCAGCACATGCGTGTGTACTGCCCCCATTACCACCACCACCATCATGGGCTCGCGCATTGTGTATGCCCGCCATTACCACCACCACTCCATCATGGGCTGACACGTGTGTGTACTGCCCGCCATTACCACCACTGCATCATGGGCTCGCACATGTGTTTGTGCTACCCCCATTACCCACCAGCACATGAGGCCGTGTTGTGTACTGCCCGCATTACCACCACCACTACCATCATGGTAGCACATGTGTGTTACTGCCCGCCATTACCACACCCATCTGGTCAGCACTGTTGTGTTGCCCCGCCATTACCACCACCACTACCATCATGGGCTGACGCATATTGTGTTGCTGCCCCCATTACCACCACCACTACCATCATGGCCCCAGCACATGTGTGTGTAGCTTGCCCCGCCATTACCACCACCACTACCATCATGTGTGTGTGTGCCATTCCACCACCACTACCATCATGGGCCCCAACACATGTGTGTGTGTGTACTGCCCCCCCAGCAGTGGAAGGTCCTGCAGATTGGACGTGACTCAGGCGGTACATCTGGAGCAGTAACATGAGAGAACAATGAGTACCTGTATGTAACCTGTTTTATCTTAACACTAATATACTCCATACATGAACTGTTAAACTGCTCCGTGTACCAGTGATAATCTTTTTGTGTTGTCTTAGTGATAAAACACACAAACACATACATAATGGCAAAATAATCACCAGCATCAACACAACACAGGCGGTACATATGCTGCAGTCATCCCTGAAGTCCTAAAACATCAAGTCCCTCAAACACACATAAAACCCACCGAAAATATACTTACTGTACACAAAGACTATTGGTACTACACTTTCAACACATTGCTAATCATAATAAATCAAGTTTTAGTCACAAAGAAGACACAGAGACGGACACACAGTAAGAAGCGTGGCGAGGCTCTACAAGACGACTCACACACTAAGAAGAGTTTAGTGAACACTCGGCCAGAAGCCTCACTGAGACGAGATGCTCAAAGGGTCGTACAGAGAATATTCCTCGTAAACTAAGAGGTGAGAAAGTACACAACTGCTTGACCTGAACTAAAACACAAAATATGTAAAATGAGCATCAATATTATACCGAGAGACTACCTAAACTACATACAGTACGTGCACTCAACACCACACTATATTAATGCAGAAAATCTTAATTATTATCTGCCTTCATTTTTTCTCGGTATAATTTTGATGTTATTTTACGAAGTAATTTTTGGTGTTTTACCATAAGTCAATGAGTTAAGTTGAATTCTTGCAGTACATCTCCAATTATAAAAAATATTCACCGTAGGAACCTTTGTGAATCTGTCCCCCACCACTACGACAACTACAGAGTTTCGCTGTAAAAAATAGCACATTAAGCAGACAGATATAGATAAAAAATAACACAGTTGGTCTAGGTGCACTGTACAACACTATACGCGCTACTGATGAAGGCAGCGGCAACAGTGTGGAGAGGAATATAAAAAAGTATTTGTAAAGAAAGTTGCAGAAGTAAGTGGCAAGTTGCTGGGGAAGGAAAACAGTGTTTGTTTACCCTGTCACTTGACGGCTGTGCCAGAGCCTGAAAGAGAACCGCAGGCGTCAACACGTCAGGACATGTTTCTCTCGACTAGTCTACACCTCTAAGACTGAGAAGTATGAGGATGAAGCCTTAGTCTGGCCTCCAGGAAGTCTGTGAACCGATAACAATAACCTCTCTATTGATCATCAGGAGAAATAGGCCTGAGGATGTGGCTTAACTCAGGTGATAAACGATTCTATACTCACCGCGATGATATCCTTTTGCGTGAGGCGAGGTCCGAGTCTGTACAGGAGACAGACACACGGCACAGAGACTCAATGTGACCCATCTCGTTCTTGGCGGTACAGGTGTAGATGCCGCCGTCGGTGTAGTTAGCCTCTCGGATTACCAGTGTGGCCAGGCCGTCCCCGTCCAGGCTGAAGGAGTGCTTGCGGGTGGGTCTGATGCGGTGGCCGTCTCGATGCCTGTAGTAGCCAGCGTCACGGAGGGAAGGCGACGCCATCGTACCAAGCAGGAGAGGCGGGTATGAGGGTGGACAGGGGGAACAAGAGAGAAACAAAGAAAAGATAAAAGACAGAGGCGTGGAAGCAAGAATTAAAGATTGGAAAGATAGAAGAAAAAAAAAAGAAAAATTAAGACAATGGTTGACAAAAAAAAAGATTACAAGGAGAGAACAAAAATGAACAACAAAAGATAAGCGAACATAAGAGAAAAAATACGACAGATAAACAAGATGAAAGAAAAATAATAAACGAAGAGAAAAATTTTAAAACAGTAAAAAAAAATAATTGTAGTCACAGACGTTTTATAAAATGGAAAAAAAAATATTAACAAATGTAATCAAGAAAACATTGTTGTTATGTCCGGGAAAAAAGATAATTATTGAAATATTATTATGACAGGTGAACAAAAATAAATTATAAATACAAGAGAAGGTGTTGATAAGAATGATGATTGTGTTCGCATTTCAGAGTACAGGTAGTGATGATGTGCAGGTGAAGGAAGGTGACAGGTGTTCCATGTCAAGGAGAGAGAGAGAGCCATGATAAATCAAATGAAGTTTACAAAATACAAATAAAAAAATAAAAAAGAAGAATAAATTAGGAGAAGCAGGAAGAAGGGGAAGGAGAGGCAAAGAGAGATAATATACTGTCAGAGGCTCAAGAAACACTACAACACACCTCACACATCATGCACACTACTGAAGGCTTAAGCTATGTCTATACTAACAAGTCCTGAAGCACCACAACGATAATAATAATAATATAATTCACGATAAACTTATTATTTCACTCTTATGCAACACAGTCGACACATTCACTTCTCGTCAGCAATAATAATAATAATAATAATAATAATAATAATAATAATAATAATAATAATAATAATAATAATAATAATAATAATAATAATAATATAATAATAATAATAATAATAATAATAATAATAATAATAATAATAATAATAATAATAATAATAATAATAATAATAATAAAAATAATAATAATAAAACATAGATCCTCTCAGAAATTTCCTGTCCACTCACCTCTTCTGTGACACTCTTCTCCCCACCCCCTGACCTCTAATCTCCCCTTTCTCTTCTTTACCCCTCCCCCCTCCCTGACCACTAACTTTCTTGACCACTCCTCACCTTCAACCACACCTTTCTCTTCCTCTTTACACCTCCTCCCTAAGACCTTCCCCCTGACCACTAATTATCCTGACCCACCCTGACCTACAACAACTGTCTTTCACTGTACCCCTTCCTTCAGACCCTCCTCGTGACCTCCTATTACCCTCTGTGCCACCCACCCCCCCTCCTTACCAGACAACACCTATGGTCGGGTAGGCCTCGATGACCGTCTGCATCGTGATGGTGGATCCTTCCCTCACACTCTGGTCCTCTAACTCCTTTAGGAACATTGGGGAGATGTATGACCTGTGGACACGTAAGAAATACTCATTAAACATAATTATTTAATGTATCTCTTATTATGGGTCAGTTAGTTACTACCGTTACACATGATGGATTAGAATATTTGGCAATGTAAGTAGACTTTGTTCCAATAATCAGCCGCCATTGTAGTCGTATTGTGTGTATGCATGTATGTATGTATGTATGTATGTATGTATGTATGTATGTATGTATGTATGTGTGTAAGTATATATATATATGTATTCAACAGTTGGAAGTCTTCCGAGTACATCTTCAAGTCATTTTCTACACAAGACATCAGTTAGAAACTTAGTAAGAAGCGGATAGAACAATAAACATGAACGACAAAGAGGTGGAAGAGGATGGTGGAACGGTGACTGTGTGTGATGCGACCCCCCCCCCTACGTCCCTTCCCATTAAAGGTAAACATGGTGAAGAAACGAAAAAAAGAGTCACCTGAGGCCGGAGTCAACGATGAGGCGGCAGCGACAGAGGACAGAGCCGAAGGGGTTGACAGCACAGGCGGAGTACACAGCGGCGTCGTCGTGAGTGGAGCTGGAGATCTCTAGTGTGTGGAAGTGACCGTCCTCCTGCCAGATGGTGTGTCCGTCTGAGGGTCCACAAGACTTTAATGACAATCTTATACAACATCTTCCTTCCTTATACACCATCTTCCTTCCTTACACAACATCTTCCTTCCTTACACAACATCTTCCTTCCTTATACACCATCTTCCTTCCTTACACAACACCTTCCTTCCTTACACAACATGTTCCTTACACACCATCTTCCTTATACATCTTCCTTCCTTACACAACATCTTCCTTCCTTACACAACATCTTTCTTCGTTACACAACATGTTCCTTCCTTACTCAACATCTTCCTTCCTTACACAACATCTTCCTTCCTACACAACACCTTCCTTTCCTTACTCAACATCTTCCCCTTCCTTACACAACATTCTCCTTCCTCCCCCCCTTCCCCACACACACCTTCCTTCCTTACACAACATCTTCCTTCCATCAACATCTTCCCTTCCCCTTATACCATCTCCTTCTCCTACACCCATGTTCCTTCACTCAACATCTTCCTCCTTACACAACATCTTCCTTCCTACACAACATCTTCCTTCCTTATATACCATCTCTCTACACCCCATGTTCCTTCCTACTTCCGTAACATCTTCTCCTTCCTTACACAACATCTTCTTCCTTACACAACATCTTCCTCTTTCCTTATATACCATTTCCTCTTACACCCTCATGTTCTTCCCTTACTCAATATCTTCCTTCCTTACTCAACACTTTCCTTTCCTTACACACCTTTCCTTCCTTACGCAACATCTTCCTTCCTTACTAAACATCGTCCTTCCTTACACAACATGTTCCTTCCTTACTCAACATCTTCCTTCCTTACTCAACATCTTCCTTCCTTACTCAACATCTTCCTTCCTTACACAACATTTT